ACCCACACCTCTTCCCTTTGTCCCAGAAAGTCTTCTCAGAGTCCAGATGGGATGGACGCCAGGATCCATCCAAGGGACCTTGTTCCCACAGGACTCAGTGTTCAGGTGAGCCAGGTCCGCTCAGGCCGAGAGTGTTACCGAGCAAGAGCTCACTGCCCAATGCACATAGAAGCCAACACTATGGCACCAGCTTTTGAGAAAAGAAAGAGTTTTATTGTAAGGTTGACCAGCAAGGAGACAGGAGGCCAGGCTCTCAAATCTGTCTCCCTGATCCAAGGTTTGGGGTGAAATTTAAGGAGTTAGGGGCCACTGAGCTGCAGCTGGGCCCATGCAAGCTGATTGTCTTGTCTCGAATCAGTCCATATATGGTAATCAAGCTACTTGGGCTGCTGGAAGCCAGATTTCCCTTAGTGAAGGACTTCTCACTTCATAAAGGGCTCCAGGGGCAACATTTCTGAAGATTCTTGGTTCCAGGGTCATCCTGGAGCTATGGGTTCTCGCCTGGCACATGCGCAGTGCTGTCTCTGTTATTGAGCACGTTTGATTAAAGTAACCTGTTTTAAAGAAGCAAAACTAGTTTAAGCTGGTCAATGTTTTACATGCTGTTTCAAAAAGAGTGGGTTGTGTTCATCAGCTCCGGCTGTTCACTATCCAAGGTGGACCTCTGGATGCCAGATCCTGTTGACAGCACAGGGACTGGCACATAGTAGGTGCTCACTGAATGAATGAATGAATGAAGTGATGATCAAAGGCGAGTGGGAGAAGAAAACTCATCCTTCGCTCAATTCAATTTCCTTATCTGTAAAATAGGGATCATGCTAAGACCTTCCCTAATCCTAAAATTCACTGATTCAAGTAAAACAAAGCTGAAATGCTCCAAGAATGGGAGGAAGGTCTACTCAGTTCTGTTAACAGTGACAGGTGATCTGTTTTGTTCACTGTAGTTAACCCAGTGGTCATCAGCAGAGGTCATTCTGCCCCTCCCACAGGGGACATTTGGCAACGTCTGGAATCATTTTTGATTGTCGCGTCTGGGGGTAGAGGGAAGGTAGCTACTGGCATTGAGTGGGTGGAGGCCAGGGATGCTGCCCCACATCCTGCAATGCACAGCATAGGCCCCCGTCCCCCAGCAAAGAATTATCCAGCCCGGTTGTAGAAGGCATAGAATTAACTGACATTCTTCAGGGCAGTCCTCATGTTTCTGGGTTTGTTTTTGGTTTTGTTTGATGTGTTTCAGTGTGGTTTTTCAAGCTTCAAATAGCCTTGTTTTGTTATTTCTACTAATGTGCTGTGTGACCCTAGGCAACCCACTTCCCCTCTCTGGACCTCATTTTCCTTCTCTGGGAAGTTTGTAACCATAAACTCTAGGAGCCTTTGGATCTTTAAGATGTGATATTTAGTTTTTGGTTTTATCCCTGTTGGGGACAAGCGAACCACCCAGGGCGGGCTAGGCAAGTCCTTATCGTGGAGTATGAAGGTACAAGAAACCACCACTAGATTGGGCGTTAATAATGATGATTAGAATAGTGACTAATATTTTTGTAGAACTCTTCAGCAAAAAAAATATATCAATCGACGCACCTGCCAGTCCTGCCTCCTGAAGGTATTCACTGTGGACGGTCCGATGAGGGAAGACTTATCATCGTCCCCACCAGGAGACTGCATTCCAAAGGTGTTCATGGCTCAGCTAGTGAAGAAGCACTTCTAGGATTACAAATGTGTGCCTGCCTTCCCTCAGCCTCTCCATCACTGGGCGCTAGCAGCAGCGTTTAAATCCAGCTCTTTTTGTAAATATATTGTTTTTCACTTTTAGTATTAAATACTTATCATTGACATTTTGGAAAATAACAAAAAGTTGAAAGAAGAAAACACGTCCCCGAAAGTCCCGCCACCCAGAGGCAGCCAGGACCACCATCTTGGCGCCCTTCCTCCAGGTCAAAACACAACTCTCTGCTTTGCCGTTTGTTTTAGCTGGTTGTTCGTAGTCGTTTTCGTACACACCATAGAATTGTACGCCTTGCTCTTTTCGCTGAACACTACGGCAGAAGCATCCCTGGCTGTGGTTTCCTCCATTTCTCATTCCATCACTTTGCGCCTGCAAGATGTTATGCTGTTGCTCACAATCCCTGCCGTTCCTCGCCATTCCGCTGCTGCCGGGCATTTAAGATACAAACTTCAGCTTCAGAGCGTCAGAACGCGTGCTTTGTTGACTTTAATGGGATGCTTCCCAGTCTGATCTCCCGTCACCCCATCCAAGTTAGAAAGGAGAGAGAGAGAGAGGTGCTCCCTCCCCAAATTGGGTGACAGAACAAATCCTCAGTCGCCTTGCATGTGTTCCATGGTGTCTCAAGAGAGAAGAGAGCATCCGTGTGTGTTTAATTAAAGCCCCGTTGGATACCCGTATTTGGTTATCAGTGTGTGTCTGCTTCCTAATTCCTCAAGTGCAGGGACCGCATCCTAGAGTGTTGACTGTCTCCTACAGAGTTTCAACAGCAGAGAAAATCGGCACCCAACGCTATCGCTCATTAATTGATTGAAGGCGTTTGAGTGGGGCACTGAACACACACGATAAAGGAAAAATCAGCCAAATGTGACTGGGATGATTGAAAATTTTAAGTGCTCTGAGAAAGAGGAGTTAATTTAACCCAGTGGTCATTGGGGCCCCAGGAAAAACCAGCCTATTTGAGCAAGTTATTAAGTTGCTGGATCTCGGAGGCCCTGGAATCCAATTTTGCCTAATTCCCAGTGGGCTTGGTTTCACGTGGGGCTCATCTGGCCAGCATCCTGGCTGAGAACAAGACCTTCAGGACTTTCGGGCTACATACATTTGCAGACCTCAGATACACACTCATCTGACTGGGGCATGGCCTTAACTTTGGAGCCAGCCAGCAAGATCCCAGCGTGTGTGAGCTCTGAGGAGTTGGGGACTACGGGAGCAGGGAGGTGAATTTACCTGGCGGATATGCAACTCTCCTTGGCAGTCAGGTTTCCATGGGAAAGGGCTGGCTCAGTCCCACTGGATTTACTCCCTAAAATGCTTTATGGCTGCCGTTGTTACCGCTGGTTTTACTCTGGGGACCCCAGGGGTTGGAGCAGCAGCTGTGAGAGGAAGCTAGTTATGGAATCCTTTCTCTTGCATTTCCTTGATGGCTGTGTGGGATCACGACACACTGGGATGGCCAGGGGAGGTCTCAGGCCTTGCAAAGAGTCACCACCTGCTGCACAAACTTGCTGCCTGCAACTTCAGGCACCTAGAAGGCAAAAGTAACAAGGAATGCATAGAAAGTCAGGCGAGATCACAGATTCTGGAATGAACTTTTCTGATAACCCTGATAATAAGAGTCACCAAAGGGGCTTTGCAATCTGCAGCTTTCCAAGCCCCACTCCTGGAGATTTAGATGGGATGGGTTTGGCCTGGGGAGACTGATGATTCATATTTTAACAAGGAACATGGTGGGGGATGGGGAATATCATGTGGGAGGTTTGAAAACCAAGGTGGCTCACTCAGCAGCAACACAAACAAAATGAGGGTTTAGAGAGACAGGAGAGTGGGGGGAGAGGCGGCTTCATGCTGGGGAGGCGGAGGATGCCACTGATAACAATACCCCATACTTCTTAAGAGAGCTAGTAACATGGTCTTTGGCATCAGGTAAACCAAGATCGGAAACCCCGCTTTACTGCGTGACCTTGGAAAGTTCCTCAGTATCCCAAAGCCTCAGTTTGCTCATCCATAAAATAGGAAGAATAATTTCTACCTCATAAGGCTGAGAAAGAATTAAATGAGGTAACAAATGAGGAACGAAGAATTAAATGAGGATGCAAAGCATTTAGCTTGGCAGGTATTCAGCAGTCAATAAAACAATAAAAAATAAACTGTTATAAATATTACTATTATTATGGCCAAGGCACACTGACTTGCTTTATGCCATTTGTAATCCTTTTAGTATCTTCATTGACACAACTTGTTTTCCCAATATCTATCTATCTATGTATGTATCTATCTACCTATCTATCCCTCTCTCTCCCTCCCTTTCTCTCTTCCTCTCTCTCACCTTCCCTACTTGGGATCAAGGGGACACTTTTGTGAAAGGACTGGCTGAAACTAATGTAGCCACGGGACCCAGCAAAACTCACAAGCCAGTGTTAGGATCGAGGCTGTCAGTCTACCCTTTTTAGCAAAATTAACAAAAGGCTCTAGGAATAATTACCAATTACCTGATCATTTCAAAAACTGACAATGTCAGAGCTGGAAGGGCCCTCAGACCTTACCTAGCCTGGCTGCCCATTTGACACAGAGTGAGAAGATGGAGAGAAGAGGAAACCCACGTGAGGGTGTGCTAGGGAAGACTGCCAAGATGGGACCACCATCGGGTCCCCCAATCCCTGGTGGATCCAAGCTCTGCACATCGAACCACAGCTGGGTCTCGGGAGCCAGGTGTCCCGACCCTAGCTGAGGTAGATGGAGAATCTTTATTACACGGAAGAGGCTCAATGGGCTTGCCCAGGCTCTCGTGGCTAGCAACTGTTAAAGGCAGAATTTGAATCCAAGTCTAACTCCAAAGCCTCAACGCTTCCCACCTTGGACCAGAAAACCCGCTTGGCAGGTGAACAACCTTGATCTGCTCTCAGGTCATCCGTACGTCCTCTCCTCCCCGTGGCTGCTCTGCCCTGGTGCCTCCGACAGCCTGGAACGCACACCAGCTGGGAATCAATGTTACACAACAGCAACATTTGTTGATGCTGGTTGCAAACTGTTACAGTCTATATAGATTAAGCCACTGCCGCCGACTCCATGAAAGTAAATGAACCTTTCTGATGGCTGCGGAAATAAATTTAAATGACAGTGCTGACGGGCCTGGAGATTGTGGCTGAGTGTCTCTCTGCAGAAAATTGACAAGGACGGCTATCAGTCCGAGCACCTTTGTCCCCAACATGTAATTCCTCTCTATCTCAAAGTAGACCGCACCAGCTTCCTACTGAGGGGTGCAATTACAATGACGATGGTAAAAATGACGACAGCAGCTGGCATGTCCCAGGCACTCACTGTTGGTGAGGCACCCATATGTACAGACATCTATGTACACTTTACCTACATCAACCTATTGAACGATGACAGCCCTAGGAAACAGGGAATGATAGTTCCATTTTACAGCGGAGGAAACTGAGGCTCAGAGGGGCAAAGTCGTTGGCCAGCTCCCAATTGATGGAACTGGGTCTCAAATAGGTAAATGAAGCCGAATTCAGGCATGAGTCTGTCAAACAGCTGCTGGGTCAGCCTTATTTAAAACGACTAGATGGTTTTATTTTCAAGGCAAAAATAAATCATACGGAATTAGCAGAGTATACAAGGCCCACCAGGGCCTGGCCCCGACCTCCCTACCTCACCAGCTTTCTGTCTAATCGCCCTCCACCTCTGCTCCCTGCCCCCATGCCTTCCTCTTTTGCACTCACCTCAGCCAGGCCTCCACGGCCTTCCCACATCTCTCTGTTCTGAACCTGCCTCATGATTCCAAATCCTCAAATATTTCTGTGTCTCCCACAAGGTCACTTTTATATTATTTAGTAAAAAACATGCTCCCCTAATCCCAGGACAATATAGCCCTGAGCCAGGGCACATGACTCAGGGATGAGTATATGAGCTGGTTACAGCCCCACTCAACTTTTTAATGAGATATCCTTGTGCAGTGAACAAGCTGTCCAACTGTACCTAGTGGTCCTGCCTCACAGACTGGGTTAGGGACCTGTCTTTTCTGTCCTGTTGGCACGCAAATCTTCTCTTTCAAAGCATTTATCACATCGAATCTGATTATTTCTACTTTGATTATTTCTACTTTCCTATTCCCTCTCCAAGTACATATATAACTAGACTGTGAGATTCTAGGTTTCTGTAGCCCTAATGCTTAGCTCAGGCCTGGCACTATCAACCCTCAGTCTCCATGGTCAGCAAAAGGAAGGAAGGAAGGAAGGGAGTAAGGGAAGGAGAGGGAGGAAAGGAAGAAGGGAAAGAGGAAGGAAGAGAAGGAAAGAAGGAAGGAAGAAGGAAAGGAGAGAAAGAAGGGTGGAAGGAAGGAGGGAGAAAGGAAGGGAGAGGGCAGGCCCCGTATCTGTTGATGGGGCCATACCAGCCTTGGGTACCAACTCACCCACCCTCAAGTCTGACAGAGGGTGGAGGACCTAACTGCCCCTAGCCCCAAGCTAACTGATGTCTTTTCTCCTCTTCCCAAGATGAGCCACCCGAGGGAGACGCTAGCCCTTCAGGGACTAACCTTCTGCCCTCAGGAGCCCTGGGGAGCAGCAGTCTGAGCAAAGAGAGCCCAGAGGAGAGAATGACAGTGGCCCCTCCGAATCCGGCGCAGTCAGGAGAAGAGCTTCAGGAGCCGGAGCTGGAGGGGACAGCCCCCTCTGTGCATCAAGACCCCACCGCCCTGTCCACGCTGCTCCCTGAGGAGGCCGGCCCCAAGCAGGCCTTTCCCCCCAGGAAGAAGCTGCCATCACTCAAGCAGGTGAACTCGGCTAGGAAACAGCTGAGGCCGAAGGCCACCTCCGCAGCAGCCCTCCAGAGGGCAGGGTCCCAGCCAGCATCCCCGGGCCTGGGTGTCCCCTCCTCCGCCACGGAGAAGCCCCGACCCCCGAGGGACCCGGACCCAGTGGCCTCGGAGGAGACCCGCCGGCTTTCGGAGGAGGAGCCCCTCTGGCTAGACAGGAGGGAAGGTGCAGCCCCCACAACGCCCGCGCCCCTGCAGATCTCCCCGTTCACCTTGCAGCCCTTCGTGGCCCAGACGCTCCCCCAGAAGCCCAACCTTGGGGAGCCCGCCGCGCCCGAGGAGGCCCAAGAGGCTCCACCTGAGGACGCCAGTCCCATGACCTTGATGGACAAAGGCGAGAACGAGCTGACCGGGTCAGCCTCAGAGGAGAGCCAGGAGACCACGACGTCCACCATTATTACCACCACGGTCATCACAACGGAGCAGGCCCCAGGTAGGAGCCCCCAGCTCCCCCAGCCCTCCTGCAGCAGCATGAGGCACCCCCTGTGCGCAGGGCATGGGGTGGGGGCCCCGGGGTGTCCAGGCCCCACCACCAGTGACCATCCCTTGAGCACCGACCACGAGCTTGACACTGTGGCTCAGAATTAACATCCCCATTTTAAAGACAACTGAGACCCTGAGGCATCAAGCAACATGCCCAAGGCCACACAGCTGAAGAGCTGACTCAAAGCCGTTTCATCTCAGACCAGCATCCTTTGGTCTCTCTCGATGGCCACAGCCTTTACAAAGTGCTTTCCCTTTGACCATGACATGAACTTCTCTAGACTTGATAAAATGCACTTTGTGTTCCAGTCTTTCTTCTTCTAAACTCTTTTCTGTCTTCAGAGAAGAGAGACAGCACCTGTCAATCATACATCAATTTGGGACAAAGGCAACATGGCCACTCATTAAAGAGTGTGAGCCGTGGATTTGAATCCTGCTTGCTGTGTGAGCTTAGCCCAGATGCTGCCCCCCTCTGAGCTTTGGTTTACTTGTCTCTAAAATGGGGATGAAATACCAGTCCCTGCAAAGATGAACGGGGTCACCCTGTAGACTGGTTGGAATGGAGCATAGCGGCACATAGTAAATGATGATTCCATGCCAACTCTTGCTATTTTGATTATCATGTTGATTCTGGAGCTGAAGGAGAATTAATAGCAGAGGGAAAGGTGGGCACAGGAGAATGTAGGTGTCCCCAGAGGCCCTGTTCCACCCTACAGCCCATCTGAGAGATTGCATCTCAGCTGTCTTCACGTGCTAATGAAAGGGCTTTCCTCCAGCTCTCTGCGGTGTGAGCTTCTCCGACCCTGAAGGGTACATCGACTCTGGTGACTACCCACCGCTGCCCCTCAACAACTTCCTGGAGTGCACGTACAATGTGACAGTCTACACTGGCTACGGGGTGGAGCTCCAGGTAACTGCAGATGGGGGACCCTGCAGTGGCTGCCTCTCCCAGCAGGAAATCCCTGGAGGATTGTCTGAGTCTGGCTTACTGTTATCATCTTAGCCAGTTTGGTTCTCTCTTTGCCCTAACCAGGGCAATTTGAGCCTGGCTTTGGCGAATGAATAGGAGTTCCCAACTCAGTGTGTGGATGAAATAGCTTGGCACACATGAAGGAGAGGGGACGTGCTGATAAACTGTGAGGCATTATACCCAGAAGGAAAGTCCTCTGATACCCTGATTAACACATACACACACACACACACACACACACACACACACACACACGCACACATCCCTAGGGAAGCCACACCTGGTTCATTGCATTTGCAAACTTTTGCCTGTAAACTAAGAATGGAAAAGAGTGGCATAGTGCTCAGACATCTGGGTTTCAAGTCCCAGCTCTACCAGTTATAGATGTGTGACTTTGGGTAAGGAACTTTACCTCTCTGAGCCTCAGTTTCCCCATCCGTAAAATGATAACGTTGCTACTTTACAGAGATGTGGGGAGGAATAAATATGACGATGCACAGAGAGATTCAGCCAGAGCCCAGCAGAGAGCGAGTGCTCAGTGCATGTTCCCAGGTATCCCCACTCTGGCTCCAGGCCTTCCCCAACCGGCCGCCCATCTCTAGAAGTCATTTTTAAAATGGGCCAAGGGGACATGCCTGGGGGTGGTGAACTGCCCGGTTCACTGTCCCACAGAGCAGAGGATGGAAGTGAAGCCAGAAAAGGAGACTGGTACTGCGTGGTGGCAGACCCTTCCCAGCCGAGGTGAGAGGTCTGGATAGGCACCTTATTCTAACGGGCAGTGAAGGGCAATCACAAATTTCCGAGCAGACCCGTAGTATGACCTAACCAGAACCTTACCTGAGGAATGCTTTCCTGACTTGTACTGGAAGGATGCAGGGTAAGCCTCTCAGCAGCAGAACCTGTGGTCTTTGCAGCCCCCAGAGCTGTGTGGGGCACATAGTAGGTACTTAATTAATACTCATGGAATGAAAGTTAACTGGAGAACAGCTGCAGTCCATCTGATTGTGGCACTTAATGAACCCTTTCCTCCACACCGTGAAGAGGCCCATTCTGTGTCTAATACGGGATGGAACTCTTTATCAGGCACAGTAGAATTCCTTCGTTGAGCACCTACTGCGTACCCAGTCACAGCTGTTGACACTGGGGGGTATAGTGATGTGCAAAACTGATACAATGCCTGTCCTATGATTGACATGCATAGAAGACATTAGAACGCCATTTGAAAAGGTCTCTACTAGATGTTTATAGGGAATGTTGTAGAATCACAGTGGAGGGATGGGCAAGCTCCTTGGCAGTCAGGGAAGGTCTCACAGAGGAGGGCAATTTTAGTGGGGCTTTGGCGCATGAGCAGGAGTTCATCAAAGAGAAAAGGGAATAAGGTATATGGCCTAAAAGAGGACGGGCTTGTGAGTGAGGCCTGCCCTGCTTATACAAGGAGCAGAGGGACTAGCATCCCAGGCCCCACTAGGAGAGGCATCAATATTCAAATTGCACACTGGGAACTGATTAAAGTCTCCACCCCCCTCCCACTCCATTTGTTCAGTGTCCCCGTGTATAATTAAAGTGTCTCCTTCTTTCTCCTCCAATCCTGGAAGGTGGACCTGGCACAAAGTGCGTGGTTCTTTGAGGAAGCTCCGGAGTTAGAGTCACCATCTGGGAGGATAAGCGTGGGCCTGAGAACGCCCTAGAGATGAGGTCCCCACTCCCTCGCTCACTAGTTCATGCAGAAGGGGAAGAACGTAGTCAATCATTCTATAAATATTTATTGAGCATCTACTATGTGCCAGGCACTATTCTAGGCACTGGGGACACTGAGCAACACGGAAAAGTCTCTCCCTCCATGGAGCTTACCTTCTGGTGGAATGCCGCCTTCTGCCTCCCTGGAGACTGGACTTCAGGCACAAGCTGATCTAACCCCTGCCCCCACCCACCAGCTCTAGGAGAATCTGTCTTGGCCTCCAGCATCCAGAAGCCTCTCTCACGGGACCCAGCTATGGGGTCCCACAGATCCTTGCCATGCTTTTACCCTAGAGCTGGGTTTCACTCTGTCCTCTCAGCTTTTGGGGAGAGGAGAGGAACCTAGATGCTCCCAGGGTTCCAGGTATTTCCAGGGCTGAGGCTTGGGGTCCGTCTGTCCCCTTGACTAGGGGCTAGTCAAGGGGGACCATGTTGGCGTTGTCTGGGGCTGGTTAGGGTGCTGCATGGGCAGCCTCGCAGCCTGGGGGACCCTGGCTCAAATCTGACTCAGAGTTTCTCTCCGTCTGCCCCTACCTGTCCCCAGGTGAAGAGCGTGAACCTGTCCGAGGGGGAGCTGCTCTCCATCCGTGGGGTGGATGGCCCCACCCTGACCGTCCTGGCGAACCAGACCCTCCTGGTAGAGGGGCAGGTAATCCGAAGCCCCACCAACACCATCTCCGTCTACTTCCGGACCTTCCAGGACGACGGCCTGGGGACCTTCCAGCTGCACTACCAGGGTAGGATCGGGCCGAGGCTGATGAGACGCGGCTGCTTGCCTCAGTTTGCCCCTGGAGCCAGGATTCTCAAACCTTTTGTGCCAGGGATCCCTCTGGCAGTTTGGTAAAACCTATGGGCCCCTTCTCAGAATCAAGTTTTCAAGAGCATAAGATAAAATAGACACAATTGAAAAGGAAGCCAGTCATATTGAACTACAGTTGTCAAAATATTGTTTTAATCTATGATATCATAATCCATGTGCTTCTTTATTAACACATTAAATCATAATATCTCCTGGCAGTTTTGATAATTACTGTAATTTCAAGGTATGGAGGAGCATAAGAAATATGTCAAGATATCCATTATGATATGAAAGTATCTGTAATTCTCTTGGTGACAAAGTCACAGGTTACACGTTGTTGCCTACATTCGTGATTGAGGGAAATACCGCAGTTCAGTTAAAGGGTAATGATAATAAGCAAGCCACATTTTCCCCTTCAACTTCGTGGCTCCTGAATCTAATCCGTGAATCCCAGGAGAGTCTGTGGACTTCTGGTGAAGAGCCTCTGGCCCCCCCACCTCTCTTTTTAATTCTTCTACGATGTTTCTTTCTTTCCTTTTTGTCTATTTCTAAATCTCCTCTCTTCTGTTTTCTGTTTACTTCTCTCTCTTCTCTTCTCTTCCTTCCTCTCTCCTTCCTTCTCTTTCTTTCCCTCTTTTCTTGCTTCCTTTGTTTCTTCCTTTCCTCCTCTCCCTCTCTTCACCCCCACCCTCCGTTCTCTCTTCCTCTGGCTCTCTCCCTCCTCATCCCTTTTCCCCACCTCCTGGGCAGTTCCCACGACCTGAGGTTACCTCCCTTCACCATGCGTGTCCCGCTGGATACTTGCCAAATAACTGACTGGAGAGTCGAGTCGTTAGCCACACATCAGGGTGTTGAAAACCGTCCACTTTTACATCGAATTGACCAAACATCTGGAAAAACCACTCATTTTAAACTTTCCCCTCGGATGTTTCTGAAACAGGTGGATGACAGCATATGGGAGCGTCCATGTCCTCATATCTTTTCAACACGGGGACCACCCTCTGTTGTCTTTGTTAATTTAAAAATGGGGGGAAAAAAGCTTGTCGACCCATGCAGTCGGATTTATTCCTCCTAATGAGTACTGGGAATGTAGGTGCCCTATCTGCAGGAGAGATCGGATCATAGCCTAGGGGTGGAGCTAGGATGGGTTTAACACCCTCTTATGAAAACGAGGAGCTCCACCTGGCCACATACACCCTTCTGCCATCCCCATCTAGCGAGCGCCATGTGCCAGGCTTTGGGCTAAGGATCCTTTCCTCGGCATTAGCCCATCTCATCCTTACCACCGCCTGTGAGGTAGGGAGTTGCCAACTTCACTGGGAAGATGAGGGGAGTGAAGTTCAGGGCACTGTGTCGCTTTCTCAAAGTCACACAGTTTCTAAGTGGTGGAGTAAGAACGTAAACTCACGTCGCTCTCCCTCAAAAACCCAACTGCTTACCTCCCAGGACGGTTGTTTTCAAGCTGTCGTATCCTTTGGCGTTTCCTGAAGAGCTGGTTGTTCTAATTCTAGTGCAAGAGTCTGCATTTTTAACAAACACCTGAGGTGTTCATGCAGGTGGGGCTAACCTGCCTGGGCAGTACTGTCCCTCCTGTGCTCGAGGAGAAGGCCATTCTATGTCCACGTGGAAAGAGGCTCAAATGAGGTATGGGAACTCGTTTTTCACCCCAAACCTGCTGTCTCTGGTGAGGCAGGTTGGGGAGCTTTGAGCCTAGAAAAAGTGCTCATCTGGCAATCTCAGCACCATATGATCAACAAGAGTCACAAAAATACCCTCCTCCAGCGCTCCCGAGTCCCCAGGGGCCTCATCTTTCTCCTTAGCACAAATTGGCTCCCACAATGTGGGTCACGTTCTGTATCTCCCCCTCCGAGGGATGATTGTCTGCCTCTGCATTTCTTCCCAGCCTTCATGCTGAGCTGCAACTTTCCCCGCCGGCCCGACTATGGGGACGTCACAGTGAAGGACCTGCACTCAGGCGGGGTGGCCCACTTCCACTGCCACCTGGGCTATGAGCTCCAGGGTGCCAAGACACTGACATGCATCAACGCCTCCAAGCCCCACTGGAGCAGCCAGGAGCCCATCTGCTCAGGTACGCTCCAGCCTCAGCCGGACCACACATGGATGGTCCACTAAGAGGGGAGAGACCAACCCCCAGGGCATTAAGACTGACCTTAGGGAGAGGTTCTCAGCCCAGGGGAAGAGACTGCTCCAAATAGAGATGACTGCTGCCATTTAAATTTTTATTGTTTGATAAAATACACATATCATAAGATTTACCATTAGTGACATTTAGTACATTCACATATTATGCCACAATCACCACTATCTAGTTCCAGAACATCTTCCTCACCCCCGAAAGGAAACCCTGTACCCATTAGCAGTAACTCCCATTCTTCTCTCCCCACCCCCAACCCTTGGCAAGCACCAAGTTGCTTTCTGTCTCTATGGATTTGCTTAATCTGGACATTCCATATAAATAGAATCATACAACATGCGATCTTTTGTGGCTGGCTTCTTTCACTTAGCATAGTGTTTTCAAGGTTCATCTATGTTGTAGCATGCATCAGAACTTCATTCCTTTTTACGGCAGAATAATATTCCATCGTATGGATGGACCACATTTTATCTGTTCATTCCTTGGTGGACATTTGTGTTGTTTCCACTTTTTGGCTATTATGAATAATGCTGCTGTGAACATTCGTGTATAAGTTTTTGTGTGGACATATGTTTTCAATTCTCTTGGATACATACCCAGAAGTGGAATTCTTGGGTCATATGGCAATTCTATGTTTAACTTTTTAAGTAACATTAAACTATTTTCCACAGTGGCTGCACCATTTTACTTTCCCACCAGCCGTGTACAAGAGTACCGATTTCTCCACATCCTCACCAGCAATTGTTATTTTCCATGTTTTCTTTTCATTATTACAGCCATCCTAGTGGGTGTGCAGGTATCTCATTGTGGTTTTGATTTGCATTTCCCTGTTGGCTAACGATATTGAGCATCTTTTCCTGTGCTAGTTGGCCATTTGTATATCTTCTAGGAGAAATGTCTATTCAAGTCCTTTGCCTATTTTTTTATTTGATTGTTTGTCTTTTTATTGTTGAGTTGTAAGAGTTCTTTATATATTCTGGATACTAGACCCTTATCAGATATATGATTTGAAAATATTTCCCCCACTCTGTGGGTTGTCTTTTCACTTCTTGATAGTGTCATTTGATGCAAAAAATGCACTTAATTTTGATGAAGTCTAATTTATCTGTTTTTTCCTTTGTTGCTTATGTTTTTGGTCTGACTGCTGTCATATTTTGAGCCCAGTCAATATGTGTGGAGCACCATGCCAGGGCTGCATAAATCCTCACAGCAATCCTACATGGTGGGAACCATTGTCCCCATTTTACAGATTAGGAAACTGAGGTTCATGGAGGTGAAGTCGCTCGCCCAAAGTCTCTAGATAAAAATTGAACTCAGTCCAGAATCTTTCTCTCCTGAACCCTTTCTCTTACACCTTTACTACTCAAAGTGGGGTCTGCAGACCAGTGAGATTATTAGAAATGCACAATCCTGGGCCCCATACAGGTGAATCAAATCTACATTTTAACATGCGCCTTGTGTGATTCATATTCTCAACCTGCACCATAGGTTGAGAAGCACTGGGCTATACCAACTGTCCCTGCCCCAGTGGGCATAGCCTTGACCATCCTCAGCTATCAGAGAGCAAAACCCTATTAGATTCTCAAAAGTCCTGACAGTGACCAGGAGAGTATAGGCTGCCCACATTAACTGAGCACCTACTATGTGCCAGGTCATGAGCCATGTACAAGGAGAATGCTGGGAATAATAAGCCACAATTCCTGTCCTCCAGGCATTTATTGTCACTGGAATCCAGAAAGCAAATAAGAGTTGATGATAAATTCTGAGGTTTACTTGTTGCAGTATTGTTCCCCCAAGGCCCTTCAGAATTTGTTCTTTTTTCCTTTTTAACAAAGAAAAAAATCCAAACCATGGGGCAGTTGGTCTCTGTGCCTCTCTCGCGTTAATTTTTATCTATGCGTGAAATCAGAGAGGAATTAAACCTCAATTTGTGCTAAGAAAGATGGATGGGGAGCCACGGCTGGCAAATTGAAGCCAAACTGAGCCATCAGTCGGCTTAATAAGGCAAGGAAGGGGAGCAGAGAGGCAGCAAATGAGCGGCAGCTCGAGGAGGACAGATGGCCGGCGCCCCCCGCCAGTTACAGTGTCCTCCATCTCCTCAGCTCCTGAGCTGTGGAGCGATAATGCTGGCTATGTTTCGAGCACCTACTCTGTGCCAGGGACTGCGCCAAGGCCTGTGCATGCATCGTATCATTGATTTCTCATCACAGTCCTATAAAGAGGGTGGAATTGTTATCACCATTTTACAGTGAACTCGAGGTTCAGAGAGCTTGAGTGACTTGTCCTAGAGCCACAGCAGATTCATGGCACAGGCCAGGTTTGAACCCCCACTTTACAAGGAGAAGGCATCCTGGAGAGAGACAGCGACCCGGTGCTCTGTCCGTGGTCCTGAAAGAAGTCGCGGGCTTCCTAGCAATGGCTTTGCTGTAGGTCACAGCAGAGCCCAGAGCAGAGAGCTATCTACCTTTCTCTCCTACTGCAATTCCTTATTAGTCGTACAGTCATTCAGCTAACACTTAGTGAGAATCAAATATCTCCTAAGAATAATAATGACTACTTTCTCACATTTGTATATCTCTTCCCAGTTCACAACTCACTTTTTAAAATTTATTTACTAGATTTTTATGATAAAAGTAATATATAGTTCTGGTAAAAAAAATTTTTTTTCAAGAAATGCAAAGCATAGAAGATAGGAGCAAATCCTTTTTATACTTATGGTCTCAACTGATCCTTGCAAATAGCTCATTTGAAATAGGTATGGCAGACCATTTTCTAACTTGGTTTTTTTCCTACTTAAAATATAGTGAGCATTTTCCTATATTCTCAAGTATTCTTTGAGAACATAGTTTTTAATAACTATATGAATGGAATATGTTTATTTCACCAAACACCTGTGAGTAGACATTCATGCTGTTCCTCATTTTTCGCTCTTAGAAACAATTTAGCAGGGAACATCTTCATTCATAAATCTTTGTGAAACATCTCCAAATCTTTTATTAGCATAAATTCCCAGAACTTTAATGACTAGGTCAAAGTTTTTGAACACACTTTCTAGGTTTTTCACCAAATTGCCCTCCTGAAAGATCATAGCAATTTGCATTCTAACCAATCATGAATGAGAGTGACCATTTTCCGTCACTTTTACCATCTCTGGTTTATTGCTGCTTTTTATCTCGACCAATTAGGTGGATGAAAATAGAATATAACTTCAATTTGCATTTCTTTTATTATTAGTGAGGCTGAATTTTTTAGTGCTAGGTAGTAAAAGTATATCTCTTCTTTCATGAACTGCCTATTTATATCCTTCTTGATTACCATTTTATAATTAAGAATCAGGGCACAGCCAGAACCATGGAAAAATCCTTAAATCATAGTCATTCATTCCCTACTGGGGAACACATGTGGTGATGGTTCCAGTCATAGGCTGAGATCTCCTGTCAAACAGGATGAACCCCGCCCAGGGGGACAGGTGTTTTCCATGGTCTTCCTCTCCCCATCCTGTTTCCTCCCAGGAAGAGGGGGGGGCCGGGATCAGGGGAGAATGAAACACTCTCTCTCTCTCTGCTCTCCTCTCATCACCCACCCACCTCTACTTTCTGCCCCCAGCCCCTTGTGGAGGAGCTGTGCACAACGCCACCATTGGCCGTGTCCTCTCCCCAAGTTACCCTGGAAACACCAATGGTAGCCAGTTCTGTGTGTGGACAATTGAAGCTCCAGAGGGCCAGAAGCTGCATCTACACTTTGAGAGGCTGTCGCTGCATGAGAAGGACAGGTAAACCTCTGAGCATCCCCAGCCAGCCTCATTCCCTCCCTGAGTGTTAGAATGTGGCTAGAGATTTGGAGTCACGAGATGGCTGAAACTTTGGCTCATGGAAATCAAGAAAGAAAGAGCTAGAGGGGAAGGGGGAAGGGGGGAGGGCGAAAGGATTAATTTGGCACATGTGTGTGGTGATGGGTTGTAATTAGTATTTGGGAGATGAACATGATGTAATCTATGCAGAAATAGAAGTATAATGATGTACACCTGAAATTTATACAATGTTATAAACCAATGTTACTGCAATAAATAAAAATTTTTAAAAAAAAAGAAAGAAAGAAAGAGCTGGGGAGGATGGCAAGGATATTAGAGAGCATCAGCTTCAATCTCTTCCTTTTACAGGTAAGGAAGCTAGTGCATACGGAGGGAAAGGAACTTGCCACATGTCACACAGCACAACAGGGGAAGAGGCAAGGAGGGATCCAGGTGCCTCACATTGCACTGCATCATTCTTTTTCCTGCTCATCCCTTTTTTCAGTTGAACAAGGAGGGAGTGTTTATTGAGCACCTGCTCTGTGCCCAGTCATGTATTTGACTCCATGGAGAACAGGAGAGAAGTGGAAAACATTGGTTCCCTGTATGACAGGAAGTTGACATGGAAAAACAAGACTGATGCACATGAAAAAGCTAGGGGGAAGTTACAAGACAATATCTAAGCAAGAGCATGTCTTGCAGACTCTAAGTAATATGCACAGAATCTAGAATCGTAAACTTTAGTATTCTAGGGGCTTATGCTAGAATATTCTAGAATGTTCTAGAAAACTAGGACCTCAGCTGCTTAGACTTGCTGTCTTAGATTAGGTTCTGGTGAAAACAGACATGGTAATGAGGATGTGAGGGAAAGTAGTTTGTTTGGGAGCTGATCCTAGAAAGCACTGGCAGAGGCATGGGAAAGTGAACAGGGAAGGGAAAGGAGTCCATACAGTATGTGTTAATAAGCAGGTGACTGGGGGGCAACTGGGGCTCTATCCACTGGGGACCTCTGGGAAACTGTGTTGAGCATACCTCAGAGTGGTCTGATTGGTGGGTGAGGAAGCTGGGGTATTTGTCCCCCACTGCCCATCCTCCATCAGATGAGGGATGCTCCTAGGCACGCTAACTCCCCAACATCGCCTGCCGCCTTTGAGCTGGTTGAGCTGGCTTCTTCTCAGAGACTTTGGGTAGGAATCCATCAGGAAATACGTGAGCAACGAGTGCTGAAGGGATGTGAGTAGGGCACTGACAGCATTTACTGTATTTCCAGAATGCCAGCACCTTAGAATTCTGGAATCTATCAGACTTTGATCTTAGAATTATAGTGTCCCGGCTTCCTTGAAGCTTCAAACCTAGACCATTAACCTCTCTAGGTAGGAAAGGATTCTTAGATAAAACACCAGATGACTCAATAATTTACGCAACTCTTGAGTCCACTGCCCACTAAGTGGTCCAGCTTTATGCTGAAAAATTCCATATCAATAAACCACTGCTTTAAACTATAAGGTGTAGAACACGGGCTCCAAAAACGTGGCTTCTCAGTAACATCAGAATGACCTGGGGAACTCTTTAAAAAACATATTCCCAATCTCTCCTGCTGGAGACTGAGAAGCCATACCTGGGAATCCTTGGTGAAGGATACTTGCTAAACTTTACACCTTGAGTCTGCCTCTTCTGAATGGCTCTGGGGATAAATTAAGTTCATACCGGACAACAAGAATGAGCAGAGAGGAAAAAAATAAGTTAACTAAAATCAGTATTTTCTGAAATTTATTTGAATCATGATAAATGAGCCAGACACACTGACACTGTAGTTTCACTAGTAGTTTCTATGAGGCTCTGCAAAGTTCTGTGAAAGATGTGAGTTGACAACCACCAGGAAAAACTAGTTCTCGAGTGTGTCCATAAGGAGAGAAGTTTGTAGTGGTTCATTAAGGTTAAAGATCAACACACACACACACAAAATGAAGTCACTTACTGTCCTAAGAAGGAAAGAGAAATTAACTTTATCTGTCCCACACACTGTGTTGAGGAAAACAGCTAAAATACCACAATATATCAGTTGTGAGAGCTTAGAGCTAGATAAGGCTCCACATAAGAAATGGGACCTTGATCTAAACCTTGGAAAGAGATTGAATGAGGGAACCCAAAAATACAACGAGAGGAGTTTCCCAATCAGGGAGAATGGGAGTGGGGGGGTGCAAAGATATAGAGGTAAATTGGGGTCATATTTTGAAGGGCTTTTAATGCCAGGCTGCTTCTATAAGCTATAGAGAGCCATGGAAGGATTTTGAGTAGAGGATGGACATGAAGAAAAATTTTAAGGTGATTTTCCCCAAAATGAAATCTTCCTAAACTCCAATACCATAATAGGCAGCATAAAACGTGGGTTGTCTGGTCAAACGTGTTTAGAGACACTGTATACCCTAGCCCTGTCTTGGAAGGTACTAATGTACATTAGCCAGCAAAGGCATTGAAAAGTCCTGCAGGAAAAAAAAAAAAAAAAGTTTAATTTTTATTCAACCCAGCATTTCCCAAACCCCTTTGACCACAGACTATATACGGACTTGAGATAAAATTTATTACTATCTCAGACATTCTAGAGAACAGAGCTAGAAAATTGCTATCTTTGGAAGGTCAATTGATTGACTATAGAGATTTTGAGGTCTTGGGGCTTTCCTCCAGAGCAACCCTCTTTGCCAAAGGCTTCGGTTCTCTGAAAGAGGAGTCCTGGGCGTGGCCCCCAAGATACAACACGCAGCAGGGACCAGAAGACTGTGAGGGGGCCCCTCCCCTCTCCGGGGATGGCCCCAGGCCTCTACCCCAGCCGGCTCCTCAGCCCAGCTACAGCGGACACGTGGCAAAATGAACAAACCATGGCTTCAATGTTTATGCATTTTGGTGACATCAGAAATTCATCCGGGCAACATAAAACAAACCCTTTTATGGGTCACGGTAAAAAACTCAAAGGATTAAAAATGCCTCTTTATTACTCCATAAAAGAAACTCATCTAATTTGTATACTGTTTTCTTCCCTCACGTTTGCATAATTTCTTTAAAAATACCAAGACTAGCAAAGAGTCAAGTATGAAATGGTTTTAATAACGGTAAAAATGAATACCCAACATTTTGTCTAACGCATTTTATTTCTCAGGGCACTTTATGCTGTCTTATTCTCATAGCCCACCTGAAGTTAGGTGGGAAAGGCCCAAGACGTGTCAAGACTTATGTCAACTCAGTCAGCGGGGAGCTGGGAACTGGAAATCAGAACTCCTGACTCCCCACACGGTGCTCCTAGGAAATGAGAATCAGAGACAGAGTCTGTGAGGGGTCAAGTGCTTAATAAATTTGACTTGCATACCTATCTGTCCTGGGCACTTTATACCCATGGTCTCTAATCCCCACACTCTGGTGTAGGTGTGACTGTACCCATTTTACAGATGAGGAAACAAAGGCTCAGTGAGGCAAAGTGTCCTTGTCCAAAGTCATACAGCTCAGAATTTAGAGTCAGGACTCTGACTGTCTATATATACCACTGTTTCAGGAATGATATTAGCCCATTAATCGCAACTTCTCAATCAGTAATATTAATCAGTATCAATTATTTAGTCTGGTTCATTACTTTGTACACATCACTTTCCCTCGAGCCTCAGAATCAATCCATGAGGAGTCCAGGACAAGCAATCTACAGAACAGGAAACAGCTTCAATAAGGTTAAGGAGCTTGTCCAGGCAAGTAGGGGGCGAAGTCTGTGTTTGAGTCTGGGAATGAGGATCCAGATTCAGTGCCCATTACACACCCCTCCCGCTGCTGCGTGTCTGTGACCCAAGGAGACCTCTCAGTGGCGCCCCTCTCCTTTCCCACTGCCAGGATGATGGTCTACAGTGGGATGACCAACAAGTCCGCCCTTCTCTATGACTCCCTCCAAACCGAGAGCGTCCCCTTTGAGGGCCTGCTGAGCGAAGGCCACTGCATCCGCATCGAGTTCACGTGGGACCACCCGCAGGTGGCCTCAGCCTTCAACATCCGGTTCGAGGGTGAGGGTCCCCGGGGCCTCCCCCTCTCCTGGGGTGTGGCATGGGAGCAGGGGAAGCCCGGTGGGGCTGGGGCTGGACCCTGGGAGGTAGAGATCTGGGCTGCTAAGGATGGGGGAGACCCAGTGGCTAGACTCACCTTGGACTTCCAAAGGCAGACTCTGCAGGGTTGGGCGGGCAGAGGTTCTTATTCCTATTTTAGATGTGAAAAAATGAGGCCCCAGGAAGCTGAGTGAATGGCCCAAGGGCCCAAGCAGCTCAACTGGAACCCGACCACAGGATCTGGTACCCATTTTCCTTGGAGCTTCCCTGAACAGCAAGAGGGGACCCATCTTCCCAGATACAGCGCTGTGGGGGCCCCTGACTCATTTGAGCCACTGCCCCTCTTTTGTATCCCCACCCCAGCCTTTGAGAAAGGCCACTGCTATGAGCCCTACATTCAGAATGGGAATTTCACCACATCTGACCCCACGTATAACATCGGGACCATAGTGGAGTTCACCTGCGACCCCGGCCACTCTCTGGAGCAGGGCCCGGCCATCATCGAGTGCATCAACGTGCGGGACCCCTACTGGAATGACACGGAGCCATTGTGCAGAGGTGAGTGGGTCCACTGCCCTCCTCCCAGGGGCTCCAGGGACCTCCACCCTTCAGATGGAAAGCCCAAGGCCCCAGCTTAGAGGCAGGTCACAAGTTTACACACCAATTTTAGCATTAACCCTTTCCAGGGCTCACTATCCTTTGAATCAGGTTTTAAAAGGTGCCCTTTCCTTCAGGCATAGGCCCCACAGTGCACATCTTGCTGAACATATCACCAAGGGTTAAGCTCCTATATATCCCCTCTGCTGTGCTGTCTTGTGCAGTGCACAGCCCACCCAACAACACATGGCAGCCCTGAGTCTAATTAACAATAATGATGATAATGATAATAGTTAATAGGAGCGCAAAAACTGTGTCACAGGTACTCTGCCAAGGGTTGTCTGCGCATTATCTGATTTAATCCTCACTACAACCCTGTTAGGTACATATTATTATTGACCCCATTTACAGAGGAAACTGAAGCTGTGAAGCGACATGCCTAAGAACAGACGAGGGTAATTGGCAGAGGTGGGAGTAGAACTCAGTTCTCTCTGTTCTCACAGACCTGTGCTCTAAGCCCCTCTGGACAGTGCTGGCTGTGTAGGACCCTCATCTACATGGGCTCCCAGTGCCCTGCCCTCTCTGTCTCCCCATATTCAAGGCCACTGGGCCACTCCGAGCCTGGATCCACACGGAGCCTGTGGAGTAATGAAGAGAGCCCTCGCTCCTGGCAGGCGCCGCCCGTATGGCGGTTGGCGTGAAATCACAGCCTGCTGTGGTGAGGGATTGATCCGTGTATTAAATGTGCTGGTTTAACAGAGCAGAATTGATTGGTGCTTTGGCCTCTGCCACATTGAGAACTTTCCAGAGCAGTAAACACAGAGTGGAATTTAAAGGTCAAAGCACCAGGTGCGGCCACATCTCTGCTTCCAGTTCAGAGCGGGGGCCTTTCCCAGTAACGGGAACTAAGAGTTATTGAGCACGTACCGTGTGCCAGGCGTTGTGCTGCGTTTGACTCTTGTGAGCTCAATGAAGCTTCAGAATAATCCAATGAAGTCAGCAGTGGTGTTACTCCAGCTTTATAGAGGAAGGGAACTGAGGCTCCAAGAAGTTACATGCCTTGTCACAGAGCCTGCTGGTGACAGAGGCAAGACTCGAACCCGGGTCCACCTGACTCCAGTGTACCATCTCTTAGCGGCCACTCACCCTGCGCAAGGGCAGAGCTGTTGAGGATTCATTCAGAGCTTTGGGCTCTGTCCTTGGCCCTTAAAGAAGTATGGCGCCCTCAGCCCCACCTTCACCAACCCTCAGCTGCAGGAGGCAGGTGGCCAATCCTAATTTAATCACTCCACCAATGTGTATGGACTGCCTGAGGTGAAGGCACCTGTCCATGGTGCACAGAGAGCCATGGCTGTCAGACTTCACAGCCCACACTCTTAACCACTATATGCCATATTTATTCCTTATGAACAAAGTGTCTGTCTGTGTCTTTTACAGCCGTATGTGGTGGGGAGCTCTCTGCCGTGGCCGGGGTGGTGCTGTCTCCCAACTGGCCAGAGCCCTATGTGGAAGGTGAAGATTGTGTCTGGAAGATCCACGTAGGGGAGGAGAAACGGATCTTCCTAGATATCCAGTTGTGAGTGTTTACGATTGAGTGGACCCCCAATCCAGCCAGATTGGGAAAGATATTACTCCTGCTTTATTCTTTCAACCAATATTAATTAAGCATCTACTATGTGTCAGGGACTGTGCAAAGAACTGGGGTCCCAGCGGTAAGTGAAGCAACGGCATCATACACACACAAAAAGAGTCCCTATCCTCAGGACATTCAACATTCAGTCTACTAAGAAAGCAGGCATTAAATGAGGAAATGCACCAATAATTGCATACATAACTTTTATAAGCAATGTAAGGAAAGGTGCATGGTGCCGTGAGATTCTACAATGGGGATGTGATATAAAGGAAGGTCGGAAAAGCCTTCCCTGAGGATCTGATACTAAAGATCAGAACTAAAGGATCCATTGGAGTGCATGCATCCAAAAAGAACAGAATATGCAAAGGCCCTGTGGCCAGAGCAAACACAACATTTTCAAGGGACTGAAAGGCCGGTGTGGCCAGGAGGAGGAGGAGGGCAGTATAACACACACTCTCTGTACTGCAGCAGTTTATTTTCCTATCTGCCTGTCTCAACTAGACCAGAAGGTCCTTTCAGTTGTGGCCTGGTCTGATTAAACTCTGTTCCAGGGTCTAACACATCCTGACACACAGTAGGTGCCCAGGAAATTATTGCTGAATGAAGAAATGCTGTAATGAAGGGACTGACCTGGCTGTGTGGCTGTTTCCTGTACTCAGTGGGGAGACCTAATAGAAGCTCCATGTATAACTTTCCCCCCTAACTCCCCAGAGATCGGGAGAAGGGACAGAGACAGATGGTGGTGTCTAGAGAAGCAGAAGAAAGGGCTTCCCAGCAGACCCAGACAGTGGCGGGACAGTGGCGGAGGGTGGGGAGAATGCCAAGTTCTGAAGAGCCTCTGTGGATGCAGCCAGGGCCGCTGGGGGTCAGCTCTCCCTTCAAGCCTGAAGTAGGAACCCAGTTGGCTGGGGAGCAGGACTCAGGGGCTGCCTGGCTCTGCAGAGGAGCCTTGCAAGAGAAGAGGAAAATTATTTGCAAAATTATGAGTGAGCGTTGTTTGAAGCTGCCCCTTAGAGGGCGTGGAAGCTTCCCAGACCTCCTGCTTGGAGTCAAAGATTTACAGACCTTGCACCGTTGGTTCTTGTGGACTCGGGGGCAGGCCAACCTGGGTCGGAATTCCATCTCCTCTGCTTCCCAGCTGTGTGACTTTGGGCTTCTCTCCGGGCCTTGGTTTTTCTCATCTGTAATGAGGGTCTTGGAACATCAGTGTTTCGTGGCAGCTGGAGGCAGGTTTTAAGCATCCCTTGCCCGTTGCCTCCCTCACTCACTCCTCAGTGAGACTTTACCCCCTCTCTCCCATTCTCATCTCTCTGACTTCTAGAGTCTGGAATAAAGTGCTCGTCACTCAACACATATTTTTTTTAGTGTCTACTATGAACCAAGCACAGTTTTAGGCACTGGAAAGGCTCTGATAGTTGTTCCTTCAGCAGAAAAGTCTGTATTGGAAAAGAGTGTATTGGATGGTCTCTATTAACTCTGAAAAACAATAGCTGTGTGCCTACTGTGTACATGTACTAGGCTAGGTGCTGGAGCTACAGTTGTGAGAAAAGTGGAACAGTCTCTGCCCTCACTGTCTGGTGGGTGAGGTGGACAAGAAACTATATGCAGTATGATAAGAGCAGTGATGGTGAGGACAGGCAGCTGAGGGACACTGAATGAAATCAGGGAGGACTTCCAGGAGGAAGTGACTTCTAACTTGGGATGAAAGAGGAGGTCGGCAAGTGATGAGGGGAAAGGAAGAGTGTCCCAGACAGTGAGAATAGCATGTGCAAAGCCTGGAAATGAGAGAGAAGATGGCTCACTTAGTGACTTAAAGGACGTTTAATGTGGCTGGAGCAGGGAGAGTGGATACCTAATTGGTACAGAAGGAAAGTGTTCAAGGGAGGCCCTGGGGTCTTCTTAGCTGAAGCTTCAAATAGAAAACTCTATTCTAAAGCTGCTTCCTCCAGGAAGCATTCTGTGCCTCCCCGTTGCCCTCGTGATAAATATAAATTTGTGGTTCTGGTCTATGAGCGCCCCACCACCAGAACTTACTGGGCAAACCAGCTCAGTCTTCAGCCAGGAGAAAGGGAAACAAACTCCTGATATCCTGGCTTCTCTTGCAGAGGTCCACTCAGCCCCATGCCCCAAGAAATTGTCTGCGGTCCCCTTCCTCCTGCTCAGCTCAGCCGTCCTCTCCTCACAGCACGCTTCCCTGACGGGCGGTTTCGCTTCTCCAAGACCGCCCACATCTCCCCTTGGTGTCAGAGGCCTGGACGAGGAAACAGGAAAATGGGAATCCTCCTTTCATCCCCTCTAGGCTTCAAATATTCAATTAACCTTCAGCTTGACACGGGGTGGGGTTTTATCTCCACTGTGAAGCACGCGATGGGGCAGCTGATCCAGGAACCTATAGCAATTAAAGCAGAAATCTTCCCCAAAGCCGGGCCACCACCGCATTAGCATCAGGAGGGGAACCCTTGCAGGGGGCAGATTTCTGTCCTCTGATCATCTCAGCAGCTGGGAGAGAGGACCCCTGGCTTCCCTCCTCCTCCATACCCTGACAATGTTCCCTGAGCAACCCTGGACCTGTCACCCAGCCTGTCTGGACTTCACATTCCTCCTCTGCAAAGTGATAGGTTGCCTTGAACTGAGAGGCTGCATTTAAACCCCTACAGGGCCACGCAAGTAACATAAAATGGGAGTTATGGCTGGTGTGAGATAATCTGGAGAGGAGGGAACTGTGATGAAATGGAAAGTACATCTCCACCTAAAATCATTTAAATTCAATTTTTTTAAGTAATGCCCCCCAAAAGCGTCTGCTGGCTGGATTCAGTCTTGAGGGGCCACTAGTTTGCAAGCCTTGGTCTAGATAGTGATTAAGGTCCTTTCTCCTTGTGGTGATATAGAAAGCGATTTTTATCATTGAGCACTCACTATTTGCAAGGTTCTTTACAAACATTAATTTCTTTGCACCTCAGAATAATCCTATGAGGTCGGTACAGCCATTATATTCAACTCATGTCCACCTGCCATCTCACGCCTTTAGTTAGATGTCTAAAAGCCATCTGGAGCGAAGTGTTCCCAAAGTTAAACTTTTGATCCGCCTTCTCCAGACCCGTTTCACCTGATCTTCCCCATCTCAGTAAGGAGTCATCCATTCTCCCAGCTGCTCAGGCAGAAAAGACTTGGGGTTATTCTAGACCAGTGGAATGCTGTAAATGTTCAAGAACTGGCTTTTTTGTTGAGTGGGGTGGAGAGCAACACCCTGGTTGGTAGCATTTGCCAATTTCCGTGGTGTGAATATTCCCACTGTGGCTGACTTCAGGCTACCGACACAATGCCAACAGGCTCACCAAATGCCCGGACATTTATCAATCGGCTCATATGACCCAGTAGGAGCCGCCAGCCCCAGCACCACTCTCTGTGCACTGGATTCTTCTCTTTCTCTCACACCCTGTACCTGGGTCTTCAGTACATCCTGCCGATTCGACTCAAGAGTCAAAATGTGCCCGGAGTCCCAGCGCCTCTAACCCCTCTCAGTCCAAGCCACCCCGGCCTCGTCCCAGGATTATGGCAGCAGCCTCCTCACTGGTCCCCCTGCTCCTGCTTTTGTGGCCTCTGGGGCTATTTTTAACCAGCACCCTGAGTGGCCTGTTAAATCTTTAAGGCAGATCACATCATGCTCTGCTCGAAACTCCACAATAGCTCCATATTTTATCCAGAGTAAAAGCCAAAGATCTTAGACAGGCCCTAGGTGATCTGGCCCTGATCACATCTCCTACTTCACCTCTTTCCACTCTCCTCCTTGCTCTCTCCATTTGGCCACACTGGCTTCCTTGCTGTTCCACAAACATACCTCAGGGCCTTTGCACTGGCTGTCTCTCTCCCCCCCGGGATGCTCTGCCCTGAATATCTACATAGCTCACTCTCTAGCTTCCTGCAGGCCTCTGCTCACAGATCTCCTCTGAGATGTCCCTCAACATCCTTATATAAATTAGCATCCCAACACTCTCAATGTCTTTACTTTGCTTCACTTTCCCCATAACACTCACTATCATCCAACATACCCCACACTGTCGTATTTGTTGAAGTATTTCAACCTCCACCCCCTCCACCTAGAATGTCACCTCCAGGAGAGCAGAGGGGTTTTTTCTCTTTGAATCACTGCTGTAACCCCAGTATGCAGGTCACTGCCTGGCCCATAGTAGGTGCTCAGTGAATAACAGTGAAGGAAATACAGGCAGTTTGTCAGGTCACACAGCCACGAAGTTCCAAAGCCAGAATGTGAACCCAAATTCATGTCCAGCTGCCTGTAATGCACAAGGAGGGGGAAAAAGCATCAGAAAAATATGGGAAGACCTTCTGGGGATGTGGCCTCCATTTATCAATAAACCCACATTTATTACATGACAAGCAATGTTGATAAATAATATTTTGCTTTAAAATTATCAAGCAAAGGAACAGAGGTGAGAAGAGCCCCAAGAGGTTTTATAGAGTTATAGTGTCAAAGATTTGCCATCACAGACTCAGAATCAGAATCTAGAGTGAGAGGACTTCAGAGGTGCCCCGACCCAGTGATGGTCCAATCCGTGGGTAGAGTTTGGGGACCAAGTAGGGTGGGGTGGCCGTGCTGCTCCTCTGGATAATCTGGGCTCCAGATGCTAAGCCAAGGTGAAGGTGATGGTGGGGCCACAGACAGGCTCCACTGTGGCCAGCGAGGAGGTACTGTCCCTCCCAGGGCGGCTTGCACTCCCTCCAGGGGACAGGCAGCCAGCATCATCCCAGGGCCTTAGGACTGGAAGTGACGTCAGAATCAATTCAGTCCAGTTTCGTTCATCCTGGACATGTTTCGCAGACTGATTTTTGTCGTTGAGCAAGTTCAATTCGATTCCACGCACATTTATTGAGTGCCCACTGTGAATCAGGCATTGTGGCTGGGCTCTGGCGGTGAGCAAGACAGA